ACCTTGTAAGAACAGTCTAGTGGTGATAAATTCCTTCAGCTTTTATTTGTCTGGAAATTCTTTATCTCTCTCTCATTTCTGAAGGACTTTTTTTTGAGTAGAGTATTCTTGTTTGGCAATCTTTTTTTTTTTTTTTTTCCTTTCAGTACTTTGAATATCTCATCCTACCGCCTTCTGACCTGCAAGGTAGAATCCACTGATAGTCATATGAGGGTTCCCTTGTAAGTAACAAGTTGCTTTTCTGTTGTTTTTATGGTTCTTTGTCTTCAACTTTTGACAATTTAATTATACTTGGTACTCCTTGGACTGCCTAGATTTGGATGTTTGGTTTTTCCCCCCAAGGTTAGGGAAGTTTTCAGTCATTGTCATTGTTCAGTTGCTAAGTCATGTCCAACTCTTTGTGACCCCTTGAACTGCAGCATGCCAGGCTTCCATGTCCTTCACTGTCTCCCAGAGTTTGCTCAAACTCATGTCCATTGAGTCAATGATACCATCTAATCATTTCATCCTCTGTCTCTGCCTTCTCATCTTACCCTCAATTCTTTCCTATTATTTCTTTGAATAGAGCCCTCCCCTCCTACACTTTTCTTTGAATAAAGCCCTCCTCTTCTCCTAGGGGACGACAGAGGATGAGATGGTTGGATAGCATCACCGACTTGATGGACAGGAGTTTTAGCAAGCTCTGGGAGTTGGTGATGGACGGGGAGGCCTGGAGTGCTGCAGTTCTTGGGGTCGAAAAGAGTCAGACACGACTGCGTGACTGAACTGACTCCCCTTCTAGGATTCTTATAATGTGTATATTGACCCATTTTCAGTGCCTTATAAGTCTCTTAAGCTATCTTCACTTCTTTTTTAGTCTTTTTTTTTTTTCTTTTTGCTTCATTGCTTTGTTGTATTCCACTACTCTGTCTCCTAATTCACTGGTATTTTCAGTTGAGCTGGTCTGCTGTTGGACCTTTCTATTGAATTTTTCAGTTTAGTTATTTTATCCTTTATTCTCTACTCTCTTTTGGTACTTTTTAATATTGTCAGTCGCTGTTGAAAAATCTTTCTTTGCTCATGCATTGCTTTCCTGACCTCTGTGAACATCCTTCTGAGCATTATTTTGAACTCTTTGCCAGATAAATGACTTTTGTATGTTTCATTAAGATTGGTTTCTGGAGACTTTACTTGTTCTCTTGTTTCAAACATTTTCCCATATTTCTTCATTTTCCTTGAATGCTTGTATTGGTTTTCATGCATTAGTTAAAACAGCGCCTCTTTCAGTCTTGGCAGATTAGTCTTGCGTAGGAGATGAATCCTGTGTATTAACCCAGCCTGAATTCGTGGTTGCCTTGCAAACCTTTGTGATTGTTCAAGCCACTGTCTTTTTATTTCATGCCTTTTAGTAGTTAAGGTTATGAGAAGACCCGTCAGCATTCCAAAGGGAATGACTGTTGTGAGGCCTCCATACAGGCTGATTAGAAGCCAGACCCTCAGGCAACAACTGGGAACGTATGCTGTCAAGCAGTTTCTGGGGAGAAACTGGGAGATTGGTGTATCTGTCTTCTCCCTTTGTACTGAATCTGGGTAGATAGCTTTGGTTGGGGGGGAGGGTATTCCTGAGCCCATTAGAAAGCTGCTTATTTCTTTGCTATAGTCCAGTTTGATTTATTAACTGCAGGTGCTGTTGGTAGTCAGAACCAGGTGATCTGGGGGCCCATCTCCCAGGCAGTATCTGCAAAAGTTGGGGCACAAGACATGTGCCCCATCTCTCTAGAAACTCCTTCTAGAGAGATGATGGTGACCTGATTTTATTGTGGGAGTGAGCTGCATGGAGAAGGTGGGTGAGTGCCCACTGATTCCTTCAGCTTCCAGTTAGATGTCAGTTAGGTAGGATCAGTTAGACTTTAGTTAGTGTCAGGATCCTTAGGCAGCAGCTTGTAAAGTATGCAGTTAAAGCCTTTCTGTGATTTGTTGGTTATTCAGAAGCGTGTTATTTAGCCTCCATATGTTTGAATTTTTAATAGTTTTTTTTCCTGCAATTGAGAACAGTGTGGAGATTCCTTAAAAAACTGGAAATAGAACTGCCATATGACCCAGCAATCCCACTCCTGGGCATACACCGAGGAAACCAGAATTGAAAGAGACACGTGCACCCCAATGTTCATCGCAGCACTGTTTATAATAGCCAGGACATGGAAGCAACCTAGATGCCCATCAGCAGACGAATGGATAAGGAAGCTGTGGTACATATACACTATGGAATATTACTCAGCCATTAAAAAGAATGCATTTGAATCAGTTCTAATGAGATGGATGAAACTGGAGCCCATTATACAGAGTGAAGTAAGCCAGAAAGATAAACACCAATACAGTATACTAACACATATATATGGGATTTAAAAGGATGGTAACGATAACCCTATATGCAGGACAGAAAAAGAGACACAGATGTACATAACAGACTTTTAGACTCTGTGGGAGAAGGCGAGGCTGGGATGTTCTGAGAGAACAGCATTGAAACAAGTATACTGTCAAGGGTGAAACAGATCACCAGCCCAGGTTGGATGCATGAGACAAGTGCTCAGGGCTGGTGCACTGGGATGACCCAGAGGGATGGGATGGAGAGGGAGGCGGGAGGGGGGATTGGGATGGGGAACACATGTAAATCCGTGGCTGATTCATGTCAATGTATGGCAACCCCCCCCCAAAAAAAAAATCCCTTGGAATTTCAAAATAAATAAATAAATAAAAACCAAGGGGAAAAAAATAAAAGCCTTTCTAGGGGAGGACTGGGAGATGGCCATTTTTGCTGCCTCTCCAGTCTTGAGACCTGTGGGGCGTAGCTGTGGTCAACGTTCACGAGCCTGTAATTAGCTTTGTTTGCGGTAGTCCTGTAGGACTCATTATTTCGCTGTCAGAGACAGAAGTTTTAGGGAACCGTTCCTCAGGAGGAGCCTTACAAGCTGGGGCACTTGATGTGCTGCCTGTGTTTGTTCCTTAGGGGGACACTCGGAGTCTGGAGTTTCCGCCTAATTGTATGGTACTGTGCCTGGAGCGAGGTTAATGGTGAGAGTGTCTCAGCCTTTTATGGATATTTTCTGTGTTACCCCATGTGTAGGAGTCATTCTAGTAGATTTCTCTAGTTTCTCAATTCCCAAATTCCTCTCAGAGAGAAGTGTTCTGTGTGTAACTACATTCACTGTGTGCACGGGAGGAGGAAAATGGCCTCCTATGTCATCATTTTGGTCCAAAACCAAACAGAGGAAAAAGCCTCTTTAGTTTCTGTAGTAATTAATTTGTTTCTTTCTTAAAAGATAACTTTTTTATAACCAGTACTCATTCATTTATTCATTTGGTAACCATTATTGAATTCTATTCTAGATGTTGGCAATACTGCAGTGAATTAAATAGGAAAAAAAAAATCTCTTGAGCATACCTTTGAGTAGGGAGGATACAGAAAATACAGAAAATAAATAACTAAACTTTATTATGTATCTTGTGGTGATGAAAGGTATAAGGTCAAATACAATCATGAAAGGGGGATTAAGAGTGAGAAGTGAGAGTGATCTCTCATAAAAGTTCTCCAGAGAAGACCTCTCTGGTAAGGACATATTTCCGTTTAGAGTTGGAGGATGTGAGTTATGTAGATATATAGAATAAAATAGAGGGAGGGTGTTCCAGGTTGCTGGAGGAGCAAGCAAAATATATGGAATTTGGATACAGATTCATGTAGCTCCTCATATTATCCAACAGTGAGCCCAGGACTGAGGAGAGCAGGATAAAATATGTTTTCTGTTCTTCTAATATTTGCTAATGGCAGAGAAAAGGTGATAGCTTTCTCTTCTGTTTGTAATCCTAAAAGCACTGTCAGGAGATATATTAATTCTCTTATTGTTCAAATTTTGGGCATGGCAACCCACTTCCAGGGGATCTTCCTAAGCCAGGGATTGAACCCAGGTTTCCCACATTACAAGCAGTGGCTCAGACAGTAAAGAATCTGCCTGCAGTGTGAGAGACCTGGATTCGATCCCTGTGTCGGGAAGATCCCCTGGAGAAGGGAATGGCTACTACTCCGGTAGTCTGGCCTGGAGAATTCCATGGACAGAGGAGCCTGGTGGGCTACAGTCTATATGATTGCAAGAGTTGGACACTACTAAGCAACTAATACTTACTTACTTAAACTTAAAATTTTCATTTATATTTTCTTTGAATACTTGAGAAAACTTGTAAATAAAACCTAAGGAGATACCCTTTTGTTTTATTTTGCAAATTGTTTGGTACAGAAAAAGAGTAGCAAATACCTATTGGTTAATGACTGAATCAGACTAAACCATAAAGGATTAAGGAGGGGTGGAAATTGGGGCAAATTGGAGAATTTATGCCCTGTGCAAAGGGAAGAAGGTGGCTTATTGGTTATTGCCATGTGAGGATCTGAGCCTAGGTTTGAGCATATTTTCTGTTTTTTTTTCAGGTAAAGCCAGAAATTTGTATTTTATGTGCTATTTCCTAATCTTTAAACGTTGGAAACTAAGTAAAAACTTTTCAAAACACTCTTCAGGCCAGACAAAACATTCATACAAGGAGAATCTGGCCCACAGGTTACAAGTTTGCAACCGTCTGTGGTGTAACACCGTAATTAAATTTTTACTGCCTCCTTCAAAGGATAGTGTAGGTTTAATACAACAAAATGCTGCAGAATTTCTGGATACAAATACTTTTAACACCCTCTAATACTATTGGACTTCCAGGTGGTGCTAGTGGCAAACAACTTGCTTCCCAATGCAGGAGACATAAGAGATGCGTGTTTGATCCCTGGGTTGGCAAGATCCCCTGGAGGAGGGCATGAAAACCCACTCCAGTATTCTTGCCTGGAGAATCCCATGGACAGAGGAGCCTGGAGGGCCACAGTCCTTAGGATCGCAGAGTCGGACACGACTGAAGTGACTTAGCACAGAATACATTATAGTATTGCTCTCCCTGGGTGGTGTTGAATATATTTATTCTTGTTGTCTTAGGGTATGGTCAGACAGGTCCACTGTCTCAGCGAGCTGGTTATGATGCTATTGCCTCTGCTGTTTCTGGTCTAATGCATATCACAGGACCCGAGGTAAGTATCTTTCTTTAGAATAGTCATAATTTTTCACCTATTTATTCCAAAGGATTTTTCATCTTTACTGACCCCATAGGCTTAAACATGAGTCAATTTTAGAAAGAAACTATGGACAGTGAATGCCTTTAAAAATGGAAGTGTTGAATGTACTTGGTGCTAAATGTCAATATGGCCCCTTGGAAAATAACAGTCTTATTAGCAAGAAGCAATAGATCAAGTGGTGAACACATTTTCCATATGCATTGTATTACTCAAGCTTAGTAAAGGTACCTTTGTGTGACCTTGGAATATCCTGTGTGAAGTAGAATGGCTGACTAGATTAGTCTGCGGATGTCCAAGGGGACAGAGGAGCCTGGTGTGCTGCACTCCCTGGGGTCGCAAAGAGTTGGACATGACTGAGTGACTGGAAAACAACAACTTTCATTTGACCTATATACATAGCGGAGGGTTTCTTTTTCCCTCTGGAATATTGTAAATGGTTGTTTATTTTCCAATTTGTTACTTAACGCTTTGGGTGTAGTTGTGTCTGTTATATGCATTGATTCTGATGGGAAAGGATTCTTTGACTTTTTTTTTTTTCATTTGTTTGAAGTGTCTTTATTTCAATTTTATTTTATTTTATTTTATTTTTTCCATTTATTTTTATTAGTTGATTATTTGACTTTATAACACTCTTCTCCATGATGATAGGCTGGGAAGTTCCCCTAAAGTATATAGATGACCAAAATGTGGATAGTTTGATCAAAGAAAATGGGACTCCTGGGAGAAACTAAACATGCCATTAAATAAAGTTTAAAAAAAAAAAGTGTGAACACACTGAATAAAAATACCAAAGACATAGGTAGTACATGTTCCCTGGTGGCTTAGACGTAAAGAATCTGCCTGCAGGAGACCTGGGTTTAACCCTGGGTTGGAAAGATGCCCTGGAGAAGGGAACGGCTACCCACTCCAGTATTCTGGCCTGGAGAATTCCATGGACAGAGAACCCCTGGCAGTCCATGGGGTCACAAAGAGTCGAACATGACTGAGTAACTTTCACACAATACATTTTCTAAGTAATAATTCACCTATACATTATGATACATTTAAACATCAAGAAGTACATCAATCAATGAAAAAGATGTATTGACCATCTGTGTGTAGTGTTGTTTTAGATACCAGAAATAATTTATTGTTATTCTGTAAGTAACAGTTTGGTTGACTAGATTAGATATATACTCATGGAAAAGTTAAAAAATGATAGAAAATTACATAAAATTAAGCTTGGAGGATCCCCTGGAGAAGGAATGTCTACCCACTCCAGTATTGTTGCCTAGAGAATTCCATGGACAGAGGAGCCTGGCAGGCTGCAGTCCATGGGGTCGCAAGCATTGGGGCAGGACTGTGTCACAAACACTTTCACTTTCAAGTGGAACACTATGTAGCATTGTGACTTGTCTTTGTCACTGTATCTGAGTCTACAATGTAAATCTCCTTCCCTCTGTCCTCAATTCACCTGCTTCTCCTCAGAGAGAATCAACGTAATCACTTTTCTTTTGCATGCTTTCAGAGGTGTTCTATTCAAAAACAAACACAATAGTTTTCTCCCATCTTTTAAAAAACACAGTTGGTAGTATACTTTCTCAAATTTTCTCTCAGGTTTTGGAGATATAATTAACATACAGCAGCGTTTAAGGTGTACGGCATAATGATTTGACTGAAATACATGATGAAATGATGACCACAATGGATTTAATGAGCTATTGTCTCATACAGATCCAGCATTAAAGAAATAGAAAAATTTTTTTTCTGTGGTATGAGTACTTTTAGGATTTATTGTCTTAACAACATTCATATATATTGTACAATAGTGTTAATTATCTCTATCATGTATGCTACATCCCTAGTACATATGTACCTTATAACTGAAAGTTTCTACCATTAGACTGCCTTCATCCAGCTCCCACTCGTCACAGCCACTGCCTCTGGTGTCTACAATCCAATCTCTTTTTCTATGACTTTGTTTTTGAAGTATGATTGACTTACAACGCTATGTTAGTTTCTGGGGTGCACCATAATGATTCAGTATTTGTATACATTTCAAAATGATCCCCTTGTTAAATCTAGTTGTTATCTGTTACAAAACAGCAGTATTATATAATTATTAACTTTATTCCCCACATGGTACATTTCATACCTATGAGTCATTTATTTTGTAACTTGAAGTTTGTACCTCTTAATCTCCCTCATCTATTTCTCTCTTCTACCCAGCCTCCTCTCTCTGGCAATCACTTGTTTGTTCCTTATATCTATAACTTTGTTTCTATTTAACTGTGTTTGTTCATTTGTTTTGTTTTTTAGTTTCCACAATTGAGTGAAGTCATACAATATTTGTCTTTTTCTATCTGACTTATTTCATTTAGCGTAATACTCTTGGTGTAAAAGCACTGTTGAATCATTTAAAATTTTACCATTTTAAAAATTGAAGTATAGTTAATTTCCAATGTTGTGTTAATTTCAGCTGTATAGTAAAGTGACAAATGAAAGAAAGTGTTAGTCACTCAGTTGTGTCCGACTCTTTTTGACCCCATGGACTGTAGCCCGCCAGGGTTCTTTGCCATGAAATTCTTCAGGCAAGACTACAGGTTGCCAGTTCCTTCTCCAGGGGATGTTCCCACCCCAGGGATTGGACCTGGGTCTCCTGCCTTGCAGGCGAATTCTTTCCTGTCTAAGCTGTATATATATATATATATATATATATATATATAATTGTATATATATATATTATTTTTTGGGTTCTTTTCCATTGTAGGTTATTACAAGATATTGAATATAGTTCCCTGTACTATAATGATAATAACTTGTTTACCTATTATATATATATATTAGTGTGTGTATGTTTATTCCAGTCTTCTAATTTATCTTCCCCCAGTTATCTTCTTTCATAACCATAACTTTGTTTTCTATGTCTTTGAATCTATTTCTGTTTTGTAAATAAGTTCATTTGTATCATTTTTCTTTTTTTAGATTCCATATATAGGTGATATCATATGATATTTGTCTTCCTCTGTTTTACTTAATATGATAATCTCTGGGTCCATCCATATTGCTGCAAATGGCATTTCATTCTTTTTGTGGCCAAGTAGTTGCCCATCTTTAATGGTTTTTAAAGCTCATAAAAAGTAAAGTATACCTTATATATAACAAAATGAAAAATCTTAAAGGTGTGGTTCAGTGATGTTTTACAAATATATACACCAGGATAAATACCACCCAGTTCAAGATACAGCATATTTCCATCACTCCAGAGAGTTCCCTCATATCTCTTCCCAAACAAGACCACCTCCTCCTAGAGGTAACCATTATTTTGACTTCTACTGCTGTAGACTAGTTTTACCTATTTTGGACTTGTGCAGATAGAATTCTGTAGTATATGCTTTTTAGTGTCTGGCTTATTTTGTCCAACACAAATTTTTTGAGGTTCACTAGATTGTTGTGTGTATCAGTGATGGTATAGTATTCTGTTGTATGATTATACCACAATGTATCCATTGTTCTGAAAATGAATATTTGAGCTGTTTCCAGTTTTTGTCTATTTTGAATACACACTCATTTCCCTTGGGTATATATGCCTCATAGTGGAACAGATGGGTTACGGGTTAGGTGTATATTTAACTTTAGTAATACTGCCAATTTTCCAAAAATGTACCAGTTTTCCAAAATGGAAAAGAAACTCAATTCCAGTGACTGATATTAATACTGCTGATATTTATTGTTGAAGCTTATTTGAATGTTCAGCTATTATTCCATAGAACTTATATTGCAGTGTAATTCTACTTTGCTTTTCTCACATTTGGCCCCTAAATGGAAGGAAACCCAGAGAAAGAAATTTCTCTGTGAAATTTATATAAGAATGCAAAAATCCTCAAATTTCTCTAAAACTTATTTTCTAAAGCAGTGTCCTAGTAAGAGATTTCACACACATGTCTTCCTGCCCCCATACTAACAATACCAGTTTTTCAAGAAATAACCTATATTTCTTGTGAGAGGAGAAGCCTCCCCTATTTAGTTTAAGTTTTTTTTTTCTTTCAGAGAAAGCATACATTTTAGAAGTATTATATCTTATTCTGAATTATCTAATGTTTGCTAAAAATTTATTCTGTAAGGGGTCATGTAATCTCATGTCATTTAAGATGTCAGTTTTATTCTCTATCTCTCTTTTTTTGTAATTCAAATGACCTAGAAAAATTTATCTTCTCTTTTTTCTAGAAAGTTCTTCAGAAATTTAACACATGTTTAGTGATTGATGAGCTTTCATATGATAAAAATCAACTGTTACTTTAAAGTCTGAAAGAGATTAGCAATAGAGATGTCCTTCAGTTTGAATTCGTCTACAAATTGAAAAGAACAATAGAGGGAGGATTAGGTAAGAAGCAATTTATTTTTGCTTGACTCCATGAAACAGTTAAAAAATAGGAGGCTGAATTATCTGTTTACAATCTGTAGGTTTGTGCATTTTTTCTTTTTTGCAATCTCATTTTCCTCTGATGTTTTCTTTTGATCATGACAGTCTGGGAAGGTTTTCTCATCTAGAAAATTTCTTGTTGGGATTACAGGGACTAAGGAATGAGGAGGCAGGTGTCTTCCCCTTATCAGGGTAAGGAAGCTCAGCAATTATGTCTGGTTGGGAATGAGGATTCCTAATGGTCAATAGTCCTTGTTATAGAGGCTGTTATTATTCCTATCTTTTTAAACTGTCCAGTAAATGCAATCAAAATAGGAATAAATTATTTTTGCTCAACATTTTATTTAATCAACTTGTTTCTTTCTGTCCATTCTCTCGATGTTGTCAGTATCATGTTGAACTGGGTCCCTTCTTGTTTCACATGGAAGAGCAAGAAGTTTATTATAGCTCATCTATATATAGCACTGGTATGCTTGGAACCATAATACTGAGTTGGTTTATAAGCACCAAAGATGCCTTAGAAATGTCAACAAATTGGAAACATTCCAGAGAA